TGCAGGAGGGGAGAGCTGAGACTCTAACAACTTCACTTAGAGATGTTAGGATTTTCCTAATGCCGTATGACGTGACTGGAATTTACAGCGGCGGAGGAGAGAAGACGGAGCTGCGGCGGTCTGTGCCGTACACTCGTCACGACTTCACGTCTGCAGAAGGAAAAAAACACAGCGCTCGGCAAGTTTGTGAAACATCATTTGTTTCTTGGTAATACTTCCTCAAAGTTTCCTTTCCCAAATATTGAGTCACTATTTGTCTTTTTTGTGAATTAATCTCTTCCCAAACAACTTGTATTTGTGTTTATATTACACACGGAGGCTTTACTCTGGGCAGGATGGTTGGCAGGTTTGGGGCGTAGGCACGAGAGGTTCTGGTAATAGGAACCAGACGTGTGGCTGTCTGTCAGGGCTTGCTTACAATTCCCAGGCCAAACCGGAAACAATGGGGTCGGGAAAGCAAAGGCAGTAGCCGTTATCCCGTGTCACTGCAGCCACGAGGGAGGAAATGTGGGAAATGGGGAATGTGTCGTCCTGCGCCGCAGGGTAGTTAATGGCGTTGGTGTCCAGAGGTGACCGCTCCTCTGGAATGTTCTCTACCACTGCTGCTGGACGCAATCCGACCTGACAACAGGGCTGCGGATCAAAAGCCCCGGCTCCTCTGGAGTATGCATATGAGAGGGAATACGAGTGTTGCCCCCGAGGCGAGCAGAGCCTCGTTTCCCTCAGAGCTCAAACCACAAGAAGGGCTTTAATCAGTGAGAGTGCTTTCTACGCTGATGTGGTGCAGACCTGAGCCCAGAGCCTCACCTTGATGCTGTCTTCCACCTCCATGTGTCCCAGCAGTTTGCCGTTGATGCTGAAGAGACAGAACTGTCCCTTGTCATAGTAAATCACACAGTGTCCCTCGGTGGACGACTGGATGAGACGAGGTCTCGTGCACTGTTGTGGGGCCTCCAGGGTCCGCAGCAGGTCTCCATTCATGGAATGGATCAGACAAGGACCCTCTGTGGAACACACCAGAGTCAACATGTGATGTCATCACTAACGACATAGACACAGTTTTAACACAGTTTTATTATTTTACATTTTTTATTAACCACCGTCACCTGTTGCATTCAACACAGACCAGAAAGGTAGACAAGGATACAGTAATACATTAAAGGTCATTAAAGGGACATTCACACTAGTAACAGGTTTGGACACCAAAGAAATACCATTACTGGAGAGGCAAGTATTACAGTATCATATCAGAGTAAGAAATACTCTTTATCAAGAAATACAATTTTATTCAAAAATATTTTCTCGACATCGCAAAGCCAGAGAGTGTAGAGTTCAGATGGATTTATTTCAAACAACTGAATAAATCTTACCTTTGCAGCCACTGATGACAAGACCCAGCTCCGCACACACACTCGCACACGTCACCTCGCAGTCATGGCCGGTCAGGATGGCCCGCGGCGTGGTAAACTCTCCCCCCATCAAACATTACAAAAATTAACTTAAATTAATTAAAATTATCAGTATTTTTTTTGCTGTTTTTTTTTTTATTCTGTCCTTGTTCAGTTTCCCTTCGTAGCACTTGTCACCAGCTGCCCCTCCCCATCTTTAAAACATTCTGCCTTCACTGGATCCAGATGTTTCTGCATTAGACTCTGAGAGAGTTGGAGGGAGGGTGGAGGGGTCGGGGTGAGGGGGTTAGTGAGTTATGGTCCAAGTCATAAAGTTTTGTGAGATTTTGTTTTGGTTTGAGCTGTCAAGGTGAGCGACAAAACAAAATCTCCTGCTTTTTTCTTCCCCTGTGACTGTGGACCGTGGTTTTACCAAACACGTTAAGACTCTGGACTTTTTTGGCCAGTTACATATGTACAAATATGTTTACTGCAGAGTGAAGGCAGAGGAAGTGTGGGAATGAGCCAAGCCGGCTTGTGTTCCTGTACGTTTATGGGTTTGTAGAGAGGCAGCATTCCTCAGTTTGGAGTTCATTAGGGTTTATTACTGAGTGAAGAGGTCGCCGCTTTCCTGACCTCCATCTTCTTCTTGGAGGTCAAGTTCAGCTGCACAGCAATGACACTTAAAAAACACAGTGACAAAATGTTCCTAAACTAAATCTTTATATACTGTGTATATACATATATATACATATATACATATATATATGTGTATATATATATATACACATATATATACGTATATACACGTATATACTGTATATATTATAATCGTCTGTTGATATATATATATTCATATATATCAACAGACGATTCTAATTATTAACCTACCTGTCCTGACTCACTACCAATTAAAACAGAAGCTCAAAATAAACAAAAGAATATCATTTTTATAAAAGTCTCCAGCAGAGGGCGGTGGTGTCTGTAAAAACGTGTCCGTAGGTCGTGTGTGGATAAACGCTCGTAACTATTCTGTGCCATGGAAACTCCCTCTGAAGTGTGTGTGTGAGATGTTTGAAGAGCAACCTGGCAAACATAAAAAGCAATGTGTGTGTATGTGTGTGAGAGACTCTGTCAGAGTGTGTGTAAGTGTGTGTTAAGCCGCTACAAGTGTGCATATTGTCTTGAAGATGGGGATTAAGAGTTCTTCAAATGTCTTTGGACGAAGACTAAAGGACAATCTGCCCTCCATATGCATTTTGTGTACATGTAAGTGAACGCTGGCATGACACTGAGTGTGTGTGCATGTGTGTGTGTGTGTGTGTAATGTCAACGAGAGCCCTCTGTGGTCTGGGGCAATGGAGCATCACATTGTGGCGATGAGAGATTGTGATGACGACTGCTTTGTCTGCACCGTGGTAACTGCACTGAGCCGGACTGAGGTTAGACTGACACACACGCACACACACACTCGCATACACACGTGATTACAAAGCAAATGCACAACACATGCACGGGTACACAGAAAGAAGACGGTATTTGAGGACATAATACTGCGATTCTGTGACTCCAACAGTCAGTGTTTGGAGCCGTATTTAGAAACAGGGGATGATGGGAATATTCATGTCCGTTAATGTGATCCTATTCCCTCTGCTCATTCGGAATACATTTGTTTACAATGAACTTGTCAAATCAAGTATTTTTTTATCTTCAAGTATTATATTGGTACCATTTTGTACATTTCCTTTTTGATCAGAGCAGTTGAACGCAGCAGAGTAAATCCTGTTTATTTCCATTTTGAAACAAATCAAAGCTGCCTTGGCTTCTATTTTTTTATTGAGAAATGATTACTTTCAGAAACATTCCCACATGTAAGAAATAAATAAATAAATAAAAACAACCCCATCAACACACTGTCCCAGAAAAACAACTGTAGTTTAATTAACCAAATTTCTGCGTGTCATAAATTTCAGCCCATTTGTAAAGGATCACTTAACAACATGTTCTCCATTCTCAGCTGACCAAATTAGCACAGAGGAGACGCAGCACGGAGCAATGTGTGCACCAGGCTTTGATCATGGCTAATGCCATATGTTATGGTAACATAAGGGAGGCCCATGACATTTTTCACTTTTATCGACTGGCCTGACCCCGTGGCCCTCGCACGGTGGTGAACTTTCACGTGCTGGACGACGACCCCCCAACATAACATTTAACGTCTCTAAGTGGCTCTCACTTTCACTCACATTAAAGACAGATATTCTCTCCCTCTCTCTCTCTGTCTCCCTCTCTCCCCCCTCTGTCGTGCACACACACACAAACACTATCTCAGACACACACACTTTCAAACACATTATCGAAATCTGTTCCTGGTGCGACAGTTTCACGAAATCCAATCTGTATGCAGGAGGCCTGGCCTGGTCAGACGAAACTAGTTGTTACTTTACAGAGGGAGGCCGTAAATCACAGAGTCACAACTGTCTGGGAGAGTGAGCACTCGCGGGGTGTGTGTGTGTGTGTGTGTGTACTCACTGCCGAGGCTCTCTCCGATGCTGCTCTGCTTTCCATTCCAGTACCACAGGAGCAGCGTGGCATCTCTGGATCCTGACAGGACGTAGCAGTCTCCTCCGATGTACGACTCGGAGCGAGCCAGACACGTCACCACGTCACGGTGGCCAAACACTATCTGAGTCAGTTTGCCTGCAGGAGCACAAACGTGTGGAGAGTTGATATTTGTGTGTGTTGCAAACAGGAATGACATGAAATGGATTTTCTTTTCTTTTTTTACATTTAATCAGGAATGACATGAAATGGATTTTCTTTTTTCTTTTTTTTACATTTAATTCAACAACAGCCAGAGGAAGTGTGACCATTCTTTAAAAACAGCAGGAAATAATAAATAATATTTAGTCTGGTTATACTCAACAACGTTAAAATTGATGTCAACATTGCAACATGCACCAGAAGAAAAACTCAGAGAAAACCAAGATGTAACAAAGGTATCCTCAGTTCACTGAAACCAACGTTCAAGAATTTTTTTTTTCAAAACTGATGAGGAGAATGTATGTATTTAAACAGCTAATTTATATTAATGTGTGTATGTGTGTTTATACAAATATATATACATATATAGTTATACTGTTTACACACATGCATATATATATATATATATATATACACATTACATAGATAGATGGATAAATGTTAGCACTTCACCCCAGAGAGAATGTAGTTTTTCAATAAACAAAAAAATCTTTTTTTTTAAAAAATCATTCCAACGTTGTCTAAATGTGCTGATAGATTTGACTCCTCCCAACAGTTCGCGGTTGGTTTGTTGAACTGTCTGTTCTGCTGATTCTCCCAGATTAGATTAGAGCTCCACTAATTCCCCAACAAGAATAAATATTTATTTCAGCTCCGTATGTGTGTCTGTGTATCTGTGAGTGTCTGTGTCTGTGTGTGTGTCTCTGCGTGCACATCAGTGTGTGCTCTCCCTCTGTATATATAAAGAGGCTAATTGCTGTCAGATCTCCAAACCGTAGCTCCACTGTCTAGCTGCTAATATTCATTACACTCCTCGCTGTGTGACCTCCCGCAGTAAAAACAGTCGAGAGTTTGCAACACATGACATTTCTGTCAGGTCGTCAGAAATCTCTCTGCGGTGGATAATGAAGTCATTTCTGACAGAAGAAAAAACGCAGGATTATCGTAAAAGACGGTGTGTGTGTCAGTGATGTAGACGTTAAAGTTATGGCGAAGGTACACACACACACGAAAACAGTGACTTTAGCATCAGTGGCTGCAGCAGTAATGGCCGCCACACGCTTCATACTGTGTTCTCTTCTGCCACCAATCACACACACACACACACACACTGGGCGAGCTACATCAGATGTGGGTGCATGCATACATATGAGGCAGTGTGTGCTGCACACACACATGTACCAATCAGGTCTAGTAATTGATAAAATCCCTCAGTTCTTTAACCCCGGGGCTTCAGGGACCTCGGTAGCAGCTGTTGAGCGCGTGTGATTAAACCGTGTTCACGTTCCACTCGTACACCCGCGGTGGCACTCGCACAATAGAGCTAAATCAGTGTCCTCTCCTGTCCCTCCTGTCCCTCCTGCCTCCCCCTAAAAGACAGGGAGGTTCCTGGCCTGTGGAAATTGAATTTGGGTTTGTTGTGTAGATGTGTGGAGGATCGTGAATGGAGTCGGAGCGGAGAGCTGAGGAGCCAGGTGCTGAGACGAGGCTTCAGACAGTTTCATTTAGAACCTCTGACCCCATGCTGTGTGTCTGTGTGTGTATGTGTGAGACTGTGTGTGGTCTAGGTGAAGCTATCTTTTTGGGGACACATTTCTTTTTGTAAAAATGGTTTGTTGTGGGCGGCCATAACTGAAGTTAGGGTTAGAATTAGGGTCAGGTGACGGTAAGGTCTAGAATGAAGACATTTAAGTCATTAAAACCCAGACTCTGTGTATATGTGTTTAGACAGAAAATTTCAAAATTGTAAAGACACTTAAAATTTAAGCGAACAAAAAAAAAAAGTATCATAAATATTTTAAACCATAGTTCCAATCAGTGGTTGTCACCGTGCTAAAGTCACTCCGTAGTCTGCTAAACGGAAACAATAACTTTGCACAACGACAGGGAAAACCAAAACAACTCAATTTTGACCCATAGTTTATTCCAGCTGTTGGACTAAACAAGTGACTTAAGGGACACACAGCTACAATAAACTGTTGACAGCACAGAGGCCTTGAACTGGAACAAATATATGGAGGGAATAAAATCCTATTGTGGCAAGTAGTTTTCCACAATTGGAGCAGGAGAGCAGTAAACACAGTCAGGAAACAACAACAGCATTCACTGTCCTGTGTTTGACTGGAGATCTGAAATACTCCGCACATGTCTCTGGTTATTCCCTATAATATATGAATGTGAGACAGTGGGGAAATAAACATTCACTTTTTTTTAGAGAATGTGACAAACATGTCCTGTGGGTGGTGCTAGAGAGGGAAGCCCGTGAAGGTAGATTAAGCTAAAAAAAAAAAGGTGGATATGAGACTTGGATTTCTTGTGATGTGATTTTCTTTCAGTGGTGTATATGTGTATATATGAACTAAAAATAGACTCAGATTCATTCGTTTGTATTTCCTCTGGAGCAGCATCACCGAGGCGTCACTGTACCTGTGTCCGTGGAGTAAACCCTGAAGCTTTTGTCCCAAAAACCACACAGGAGGATGAAGCGATTGTCGGCCGTGATGACGAAGCACTGTGAGCTGATGTGGATGCTCTGATCCAGCAGGTCTGGGATCTGACGTCGGTGGCTGCCGACGTAGGCGGCTGGAGGTGACGAATCAGCACAAACGAAACAAAGACAAAACAGTTAGATACAAAAACTGAAGAGGACTGTCATAGAATACATACACACATATATAAATATATATATATATATTTGTGAGACTAAAAAGCCAAGAATTGAAAGTCTGCATGGATGCAAACTACGTACAAGACTCGGATCAGACGAACATGAAAGTTCATCTGTTTGTGTTTTTCAGCCAATCCTGAGCGAGAACGCTTTTTTATTGCCTTTCCTGTCTCTATAAGTGTAACTTTTTTTTTTTTTACAGACAGATATGTGGAGGATGAATTATTTCCTCTTTTGTTGAAGGTCAACCGTGGCTGAGAACAGTCGTCAGGACGGTGTATGGAAACAGAGAAAAGTGCGGTGCTCCTACCACAAATAATATTTCAGAACATTTTTAACATTCCTTTCAACCACTTCTGGCTCAAAACCTTTTCTCAACTGACTGTGTGTTTATTCCAGGCTAATACTGGAATGCAAACAGTGTAAATATAACTCTGACAAACAAATCAATTTCTCCTTCCAGCCTCAAATCGTACGCACATTGAGCCGTGAATGCTGTAAAAAAATATATTTTTACATTCAGATTTAAAATATAAAGAATCACATGACAACAGAGAATACTGAGGAGCAAAGGCCGTGATGACGTTAATCACATTAAATTATTATAAGAGATAAAGAATTGTGTGAAACTGTTGAGCCCCCCCCCCCCCCCCCCCGCAACGTCCACAGATAAAGAACAGACCCCCGTCACAGACATGCGTGAGAGTACGAGGGGCTGCAGCAGAGGGGAGACGGAGGCGATTTGCGGCAGCAGACAGAAGTGCTCATCTCTCCCTGCTCCACCAGTGCATTCAATACATCACTGGGACTCGGCACTCTTCTCCTGCTCATCAACAAGTCGTGAAGGATGAGAGGCGCCCATATTGTCCTGACAGCCGTCCGCCGTGCATTCTCAATCACACATTATTACCACATTCATATTCATTTCCATTGACACGCGTCCTTTCCCCCCGCTCAAATTAAACCAAAGAGGATGCAAAAAGGGAGGGAGGGAAGGGGACGATGGAGAGGGAGACAGAGGAGGGGGGGCGGTTGATGATGAAATGCCGGCCTAGGCCACAGCTCATTGCATTCCAATTTGCATGCAAATGGTTCAGTGTGGGAGCAGGGGCTATATCACGAGGAGTGAACGGGGGCATAGGCTGAGAAACAACTCTGATCTACCGTCCAGGGACACGGCGCCGCAGACTGCCATGAGTCACCGCGATGCCAGCAGTAATCGTACATAAATCCACTCACACACACACAAAAAAATCAGTGCATGCATATAGAAGCCAGCGGTGAATAGAGAACGTGCACAGGAGTGGATTATTTTACAGTCACGGCAGCATACCTATTAGTGGGTCGATTTCCACAGGAAGTTGGTACTGCTGGTCCTGCACGGCTGGGCTCTGATGACCTGACAGAGAAGACAGACTGGATTAATATTCCGAACATGAGGCCAAGTGGAATACGCATGGGTTTTCACACTGAAAGTAAAACATATGGAAATTGTAATTGTGAAGTCAGTGACACACAGAGACTAAAGGTGTATTTCACAAATTATTACTGCACATTCATCATCTGAATAAACAACACCTTGAGTCAAAGTTGACAAACGTGACACTGCACTAAGAAGAGATGGTATTTTAAATTTATCTTGAACTTTCCTCCAAACACTGTTTTTTACTCACACAGGAAATCATTTCTTTTTCTTCTTTTTCCTTTCTTTTTATTTTAACCAAAATATCCTGAACACAAACACTACTAATTTTAGTTGTTTTACGATCTATTCTCAAGAGTTTGGTTGAAGGTCGTATTTTTTCTTCTTCATAGCCAGTAACGTTGGAAACATTTTTGGAAAACTCGCCAGTCTTTGAGATGACACATCTGCCTCAGGAGTCTCCACTGCTCATGATCTACATTTGGCTGCAAACTTTGCCCTCATGAAATTCCTCCCATATTTCTAAAGCCTTCAACGAGGGAAACACTAACACTTTCTGTGATTCTCCCTCTCACACAGAGGCTCAGACTGTAGGAAGCAGTGAACGTGAATGTAAATGATGTCTGCAAACCTTGTTCCTTTCACTGGGCTCATGAACCAACTTGGCGTCATCCCTCATTTTAATTGTTGGCACAGTTCCCTGGACTACAAACGGAGGCGCATTTGGATTCGCACTAACTTTCATTTTTCTCTTTTATCTCTTCCAGCAGCAACGGTGGAGGAATCTGGCAAATCCCCGCAATTAATGAGTCACTCCTACACAGAACGCGTTTTGTTTATGACTCTGGCTCACAAAACAATTTGGGTCTAATCAGTCTGGACGAGGTCCGACCTGTCCTGGAGACCGATCGCTCTTCATCCCCAGAAATTTGCAGATATCAAATTTAATGTTTCTTCCGGAGTGGGATGGATGTTGAGTAAACAAGGTTTTGTGGAGTGAGCAGCTGATGTATGGAGGTGGACGTGAAACCTAACGCTGGCTGCTGCATGTGTCACATTTGATACGGTTAGCCCAGTGAGAGAGTCAACTGTCTCCCAAATCAATGTCCATCCGATACAGGACAGGACGGGTCAATCGTCTGATTAATTAAAGATCAAGTGGTGAAGAAGAGAGGGAGCTGAGGGGGCCTGGATGGAGACTGATCTCCACAGACAGATTCTTCTACTTCTTCACTGTAACTGATAGAGAACAGCCCTGACACAGACGGACTTCTCTCTCACCTGTCAGGCCGTGCCACTTGTTCACAGCAAACAGACGGTTGGCGGTGACCGTGACGATGGCGGGTGACGTCAGGCCCGGCTGGGTGTTGGCTGCGACGTGGGTGACGGGGGAGTTTGAGGGGAACTTCAGCACCATGATGACGTCCTGCTGCATCTGGTCCGTGAACATCATGGGAGTCTGCAGGAGAAGATACTGTTCAAACCCAACGGGAAGGAAGAAAACACAACACGGGGCGGAGAGACGGGGAACGAGTCGGGAAATGAAGCCGCAGACGGAGCACGGTGGTTGGTGTTAATGAGGAGGAAACAGAGGGAGAGGGAGGAAAGATAAGAAGAAAGAAGAGAAATTTAAGAAGTCGAGGCAGAAAACTGAAACGCAGCATTTAAACCACAGACGAGAGAGTGACGGACGGGGGTGGGATGGCCGAGGAAGGTAAAAAAAAAAATAGGATTAGAAATTAATCCTGAAAAACACGAGAAGAATAATATGTCATTTTTTGAGCTATGGTTGTAATTACTATATTTCTAATTAGACGCACATGAAGAAACATCTCACGAGAAGAATAATATGTCATTTTTTAAGCTATGGTTGTAATTACTATATTTCTTCATCTAATTAGACGCACATGAAGAAACATATTTATATGGAAATATGTTTGGGAAGATCACAAGGATTTTCAGATTAGTGATTCTAAATTTCAGCCAAATCTATTGTTTACTTATGTTATTATGATTTTATTTATGATTTTTCATTGACTTTGGGGAGAATACAACAGATTAAAAATGATTATTAATAATTCAAACGCATTTGACGTAAATGCTCATGACTCCAACTCTTACATAATTCTGCACCAAGAAAAAAACAAAACTGATCTGTACATTGATCTTCTGTATTTACACTTTTTATAAAACATAAATGTGACTGGAAAATTATAATAAAATTACTTTTATATTACCCTAAATTTCCCTGTGCTAAAGTGCTATCTATCTATATATAACAAGAGATAATTGACATTGTTAATATATTACAACTTTTATGACTGCCCTTTTGATAAACAGGACAATTGTTGTCTATTGTTGTCAACAACAAACAAATGCATCATTTAAAATATTATTTTGTTTGTTATTTTGCATAAAAACCCCAAAATTTATGGCTATTGATTTGTTATAACTAGAAGTAAAATCACAATACTACTTCTAAACTTTGCACAAAGCATTTTAAATACTTAAAAAAATCCAATGTAACAAAAGAATAAAAACCCAACTTCCTGCTGCAAACTTAACTCACGATGATGTTTCTGTTTGTTAGTGTAGATTCTATCAGTACACGGGCAGGAAGTCTTGTTAAACTCTAACTGTAGGTTGTATTGATGTGAAAGGTGAGAAGAGGAGAACGGTGCGGTCGACAGGTGACTTCATGGACCTATCAGACTGACTCCTCTGGTTAGACAGGGGTTTATATAGAGCCATTCTCACAGTGTTTGTACTGAGCAGCTCTAACACGCAGCCATTTCCCTGCTTGCGTGAGAAGAGCAGGAACATCAGTGTTTAACATCAGGAGCAGACCCAAGTAAATCCGGTGCATCTGACAGCTTACCAGACGTACTGACAGTATCATTACCACGAGCACGGGCGCACGCCGACACTCTGACAACACGCTCACGTGTGAGACAGCGGTGAGAAAGTAAAGAGCAGAGGAGCTTAAAAAGCACAGGAGGAGACGATGTGGTGGAGACGTCTGGGCTGGATACGATACGATGAACGTGGTGTCGAGATCGAAGGTTTGAAAATACAAAGTGAAGTAGTAAAATGAATGAAAAAAAAAAGATTTTTACATAAATACGGTGAGTGAGGTGGATCTGGAGCAGCAGTCTGACTTTTCCGCCTGTGTGTACGTGTGTGTGTGCTGGGTAGTGGTCTGCAGCCAGCTGTCAGCGCCACAGGGACACCACACTAATAGGGACTCATGGGGCCGGGGCCCATCACAGGCAGGCACTCTGAGTGCACTCTGTGGCCCTTAAAAAGCTGTCAATTCAGGGCTGCTGTTCATGGCTCCCCTTCACTGATCTCTGCTTCAAACTCAGGTGGAAAATCTGGCTCTGACCCAGGTTTCCAGAAAACACTCTCGGTACACACACGCACGCGCACGCACGTGACTGCACTCTGTCCCTCTCACACACACCTCACTAATGATGAGTGAGGAGATGCTTTCGAGGCCGAGACTTTATTTTCCCACACTTGTAAACGCAGGAAGAGAGGACAGGAGTTACATGAAAAGAATGAGCCGCAAAACTATGACTCATGTGACGTGAGGCCGCGCTCACCAAGACATCAGAGAGAATTAACCAGGCCGCACACAAGGGTTAAAAACTACAGCTCTGAATGACACGCAGGGGGAAAAAAAAAAAAGAAGTGGAAATGAAATGAAACGCAGCCCCGGGCTTTGACAGACTACTGGGGGGGAAAAAGAGCTGAAGTCCATCTGTGTAAATGTTGGAGATAGTTGATGAAGATGATCATGTTTCATTTGAAAAATTGCACGTTTGTCCGTGGACCACTCACCACTTGCATGGCTGAACTGCGGGGTGGGTGCGGCTCGATCAGCAGCTGACACGGGGTCTGTCCAAAACTCCTGATCTGAGACTCCACGGCCTGAGGGGACACAGAGGAACAAATTAATGTTTAACTCAAATAATTTCATTCATTTTTTTAAAACTTGAAACATAAGGGGAAAAATTAAGTCTCATATTTTGTTCTTCAGTTTTTGTTCATGTTATAAAAATATTCAGTGTGTGTGAAAACAAAAGCCATCAAGGAAAAACAACCAGCGATCTTTTCCAGGACACACACACATGTGCTCGTAAATATAAATACACTTTTTCACTGTCTGATACCCACTGACACACACACACAAACGTGGCAATTTATCCTCCACAGCCACACACACAGAATGAGCTGAGGGCCGGGACAGGCCGGCTTGCAGGCTGGTTAGGTGGTGTTAATGAAGAGGTATAGGACCATAAATGTCAGAGCAGACGCCGGTGGAGCAGCCCCTGGACATCATCACACAGCTCACTGTCAGGACAGGCAGCACAGGAGGGAACACACCCGCACTGATGCACACGGCTGAGGCTAACACAAACCAGTGTTTCAGACTGCATGTTCAAAAATGTTTATATTTACAGGTTTAAAAAAAAAAAAAAAAGCACCGTCTACGGATACTTTCAGTTTAACCGCAAACCTATTGGCACCGTCTTCAAACTGGTAACTTCAAACAGTAACAGTGTTGTGAAGTTGAAAAAGTTCAAATAATCATGTTTTTTCTCTTCTAGATATGGAGACTGTTTTATATAATATATATAATTTCTAAACAAAAAACGTATTTAAGTATTTAACAAATATTTTATTTTTATTTAACCTTTACAGATTTTGTTATTAAGAAGTTGTCATTCTAAAGAATAAAAAAAATCCATGAGTAAGTAAAACTGAAAAAAATGTGCAAATATATACATATAAATATATATATATATATATGGTATAGAAATGTACATTTTAAAGACATATACAACTAAATGTGTCCTGTGTATTTCAACCATCAACCCAGTCCTAGTGAGAAAGGATCGCTCTCAAAAGCCGCCTTGGTACTGAAGGAAATGTGCTCTACACACCGCAGCCGGCCAAGATGGGATTCGAACCAGGATCTTGTGTTTACAAGCCTGAGCCTCTTACCACTGGGCCTTACCCTCAAGAATATGTTGGTTCGGGAAAAAAAAATTAACACATGACACAGATCTAGTATGAGAGCTGGTTTAGAGAATGGACAGGCGTAGAGAGAAAGGCCAACACAGAATTATGACAGAGCTGTCAGTATGTTGTTGTGCACTGTGACTGGCTGTGTGGGAGTGACAGCTTGTGTGGAGGCTGAGACGTTTGAGCCTGACTTGGCCGAGCCTGTGAGAATGAGCTCATGGATGAGGCTTGCATATGGTATTTCCATGAGAAAAGAGGGTTTGGGAAGTGGGTCTGTTCATAGCCATTGTCTGAAAATAACCAGAGACCCCAGGGGCGAGGAGAAAGAGAGATCACCACTGCACATTTGTCAGCCTCCGATGGGTCACAGAAGATGAACACGAGACCAGTCGTATTTTATATCTATTAGACTCACTTTTGTATTTGGCACCTGTAAAAGCGATGGGGGGAAAACTGATAACAGAACGTAATCTGCAACATTTGCGGTATTTTGCTCATAACGTGTCAAATCTCCTTGTAAGGGTTTCAAACAGCATGTGGTTCTGGGTTTAAAAATGTAGCGTATAACAATAGGGTATTTTAACAGAAAAATTCAGACTTTGTCAACACATAGAGATGTAAAATAAGGTCACCGAGTTCTGTTTACAATAAATACAGAACATTCACTTCATCGTAGCCAGAGTTGTCCTACTTCTCCTGGTGACTATAAAACTGCACCGTCCAATTACTGTGCTCAAAATATAATTACAAGTGCTACGCAACATAGGATGGTTTATTTTTGAGGCACAATGACACATGTTTATCTCAACTATTAAAACAGAGGAGTCCACCTTCAACTGCTAATCAATCCTAGACTCTGATAGGATACTGGACAACTACTGCAACAAACTAGAGTTGAACTACGCTGATGACCGAGACCAAATCCTGCTCCGTGTGAAGCTTTTCAGAGATGATGGTCTGCCTTCACTTTGTAACAAAACAACAGTTCATTAATAACTAAAGCTAAACTTGGGCTGTGTCGGACCAAAGGTATCGAATTCTCCACCAAAATGCTAGGTCTTGAAAATGCTAGTCTTTTTAACTCTTAGCATGCTAAGCCTAAAAAACCTCTTTAAGGTTCTTATTCAACGACAATGTTGGTTTTCTTTTGAGTCAAGGTCAAAGCGGAGCATTTTGCCTACGCTCGTGTCTAGAAGCGACTCCTCAAAGCCACTCAACCCGTCTTCATTGAGCTCAGCGTTGACATTTACGATGCTGCCGAACGCCAGGAAGTGGCTGAGTCTAGGTCAGCACGTCCTTTCCCTCTGTGCCAATGCAATGCTCAGGTGATTATATGAAGGGCCACATCCACAAGGCCAATCTCTTTTGGGGGCGCTGGCCCGTGTCTGATGAAGCTTCTCTATATTCTATACATTTAAATGGCTGAGACGCCCTCGGCCCGGGTGTCACAACGGGCCCTTTGATTTATTCAGCTATTTGCCTGAGATATCCAGGGATATCCATGTATAACATGCTGATTTAATGCAAAGTAATCTGAGATCACCGGCTTCCATCGGCACAGTCAAAAAGGTGTACAACGATGTCGTTTATTTATACGCGATAGAAAACGTCTCCCATGTTTAAATTTACAATGTTCGGAAATATGGTCTGCAATATCATGCTATTTATTATCACATCCTACGGACCCCGACAGTAGGAGTTTTTTGTTGTTGTGAGTCAATAGAGGGTGGACCATATTTATGGTATCCAAAAACTCTACTGTTCTTTGGAGCTGTATCCTCCTAACAACAGCGATCCTACGACATAACATTGAAGGAATATGAAAAAAAAAGATTAATTACACTACTACATAACATTGAAGGAATATGAAAAAAAATAAAAATGATGAAATTTCACTCCTACTCTTTTAGCTTAAATTATTGTAAAATCTGTGCTAACAAACGGAGAACCATTGGCTCGTGACTCACTTGAGTGAACGACTTAAGTTTATATTTCTTTTTCGCAGCTTTTTTTTTTTTTTTAGGAAAGTCCATCCTTTAACTTTTAAATGAAAATGAAAATATGAGCTTTGGTAATTTTCCCTAAAGAAAATAAAAGAGAGGGTCTTGTGCTTAGCGAACGACTTTGGCCTCAGCGTCAAAGCGGGTTCACTCACGTTTCCCGTCTTCTGCCGAATTACGCACACACTATACAATTCCAACAGGCCTCTGCGTTCTGTTACTGGTGTAAGAGGCTCTGGGACTT